TTTCGTTACTATTTATTATCATTATTATCTTAGGTTTCACGGCACGCTTATCACGATTATGCTTTGAATAATAAAAAATAAATAAAGATAATAAAAAATAAATAACAATCAAATTTATATCTTAACGTGTAGCTTAAATTAATTATCCGACGTCATGCAATAAAATCGAGTGGATCGCATGTACGTATGTAATTCGCTGGTAGCGTGCAATTTGACGTTATCAATTTGTCGTTGTTAATTCACTGGAATCATACAGCATGTATTAGCTACTATCCCGTTTTTAAAGAGTAAAGTTGAAAAAGTCAGCAACTCTCCTGCAATCGGACGCTTTTTTCACTTGATACGCTTGTAAGTTTGAAAGTCTATAATTTTACTACGAATTTGACAGCCTTCAATCTCCGTGATTTGGAATGACAATAAAGGATGATCCGCCTCGGAGGAGACAGTAAAGTGATTCAAGGCGATCAGCTTTGCCTATCGTTTTCTGTGGACGAGGTCTAGGATAATTTACCGCGCGTGATTCTCCTTGCACCTGCTCGTCGCTAATTCGTAACGAAGTTTGAGCAACGCGCGTCACACGTGCACGTTCGTTCGCGCGAAAAAGGAACGCGGCACGTGTACGATAAACATGCAATGTCAGGTTCGGATTTATTTTATTTTGAATGAGTTTCATCGTCAATAAAAATATTTGGCTCGAGCTTTAAACCAAAGCTACCCCATTATACGGTAATTCATTCACTTCAGTATTCATTAGCGTTAGCGAAGAAATGAAGAGACGTTAAAACACGGGTTGGTTATATGGAATTATCTGGATAAAGTTATCTTTTCCGAATAGAAGAAAAGACAACGATTGCCACATATTCCGTCTTTTATTTTAATATTTTATTCTTTAATTATTCATCATTTATTTAATCAAACAATAGCTTGTAGCATTATCCTCTTTGAATCCGATCCTGCGCACTTTGCAGGCGGGAGCGCATGACCGCGGGCTGTGGGTCGTAAGACCCCGAGGGCGCGAAACCGCGAGATAATTTGAAATCGCACGATCTACGGCGGACTGGAACGGATGTTGGAAATTAATTTTATTTTTCGTTTGACCTCTAATTGAAGAGCGTTAAAGAAATCGCGAATGAAAGCCCGCGAAGGGATCCGACAATTGCAATTGGTTGAAATGACTGTAATAAAGAAACTTCGAACAGGATTGCCACACTTTTCAGTCAACTTTAAAAGTGAAGATTTAAGATTGATGTGGCTTTTCGCACAATCGCACTTAATTGAAACCATGAGCTAAAAAAAACTTGGAACGGGATTTCCATATTTTTTATTTGATCCAGGAATAGAATCACCTAATGTTTTTATATCCCAATAGCAAAAAAATGTAAATTATTGTAAAATATTGTTGTGTACGGATATTTTTTAACATATCTTCTTTTTTAATAATAGTTACACATTCTTTAGGAATTTTTAAATATGTAACTCCATAAAAAACAAAAAAGTGTTGCACTATTAATTAAAATCTTAATTTTTTTAGAAATACTGTCATATAATAAGCTATGCTTAACGTGTTTATTTCGTTTAATATTTGTTTGATTTCTATATATATTTACCTTTTCTCAGAAAATTATGACTAAATCTATAATGTTCTCAAATACTAATAAATCGTAAAATAATCAATAATAAAATGTAGTTAATAATAGTAATTTTAATTTAAATGTTGAAACACTATAGGAGTTCAAATAAAAAAATCAGATGATTACTCTCGGAGTAATTTTGCCGAAAGTAAAGATTTAATTTATAAAATATCTACTGAGAATTGGTGGGCCGTCATCAAGTTTTTGAATAACTGTATTTGATTAAAATGATTGCTAAAAAAAAACTTGGAACAAGATTGTCGATTTTTCATTTAATTTCACCGAAAATAAATAAGGTTTATAAACTCGAATTTAAAAGATAATTAAGATCTGCGTGAGTCTTTCAAATAATCGTACTTGGTAAAGAAATACAAGGCATTTCGAGATAGGTGTTCGGGACTTTAGCAAAATAAGGCTTGCCGAAATATGTGCGAAATTCACGCGTGCGTTTGGGGGTCCGTTTATTACTTTTCTCGGAACAACAACGTGAAGACAAGGCCGATGAGTCGCGGAAAGTGGCATAACTTTCCCTTTTAAAGCGCGCTTCAAAATATGACGTGCTTTATATACCTATATTCCAGACGGACCCTTGCGAGCACATGTCAATTAAAGCCATGTGACACGGAGATTTTTCATTTCACTTGGTAACTCACAAGGCCATGTCGCAGAGTCCCTTTTATCGCACAGTCGCAACTCAACACAAAAGAACCTGACTTTCCAGGACCGTCGGTCTCGCCTGCTTCAATTGCAAATCAATTCTCGGCCAAAATCTTTTATTAAGGAGACTCTCATTAAAGAGAGGCTCTCGTTGAAGTTAAAAGCGGCCGCTTCAGGGACACCCTGTACATTCGTTCGCGATACTTTTTCTTTCTCGCAATAACTCACCGATCAAACTTTAGACGATTAAACTTTAGACCCTTAGGCGAATTTTAGATGACTAATGGTGCAAATTCGCGATACGTAGGTATTACGTAGACATCTCGATAGAGTTCGCGATCGGTGGATTCGTCGGAAGATCGACGAACGGACACGTTTTGATGAGGATCAAGAATCGAGAGAGATAAAGGGACAAAAGAGACGAGAGAGAGAGAACACTTGCGTAATCGTAGTCGGCGCATATGTGTGCCGATTGCCCGCGGCAAGCCGAGACCTTGCCGACGTGCATGAGAACTGGGCCGCGGTGCGTCGGGGCACGCATCGTATCCCGGGCCCGCCGGGCCCCAACCGACTTAGACGAGTCTGACGCCGTGAAGTCTGCGGAGTCTCGCACGCCGGATCACGCCGAAGGATTCTGCGATCGAGACGCGTTCGCGAAAAAAGGAACATATCGTTCTGCGATAATTACCCGACATGTCCGGGAATTTTTATTAAATCGGCGCGTTTTAATAAAATCTTTTTGAATACACATTATTTATAAAATATAATCGGGTATTTTCCTGTTTATGTAAACGCGAAAGAGAGCATCATGTTTGCTTTGATCATTTTCAGGATTGTCCAACCAAGACAACAAATTACAATAACGTCAATTAAAATGACGTAATGAATAGTAAAAATGATTGAAAAGTGACTTTTAATGATCATTTTGGAGTTATTTTGAGACTATTTTGATGTCATGATGATATAATGTGTTCTACTGGGTATTGGCACGTGTTATCGTAAAAAAGAAATTTTTATTGAACTAATGTGTCAATGCATCTTATCACTTATTATTTGCAAAGTAATCGATTAATTGTTGCGTGCACTCAAGTCTAATGCAACTTATATCATGCATTATAATCATATTTGAACGACATTATTATTAATGTAAAATGTTTGCGTCAATATCAAGTGGAAGTTTACGAGCAATTTGCGAAGTGAGTTTACGAGCAGGCTCAGGTAATTTTTGCGTGCAAATTGTACATATGAATTAGATCGTGTTCATCTACCGCGACTACCATCTGCTATCGATTAGCAACCACACGCAATGCTGCAATAAATCAAACATCGATTCTCTAAATACATCATGTTTATGCTTTAATTTGAAGGATCTTCTACACTATCAAATATATTAAAACACCTTGCAGATATATATATTCATAATTATCCTTTGATTATATTTTTGTTTATCTATTCTATTGTCCTATTTTTCATTTTATTGTTTATATTTTTTAAATACAATGTCGTATTGTAGTATGACATTTTTATTGTCATAAAACAGTTTTAGAGACATTTATATATAAAGACCACCCATTCATATAAAGTTCACCCAAGATTTATCTACGAGAAGGTGAAGTCAAGTTGTCCTCGAGTTGGCTTCGAATTATGCGATCTCTCCGTAATGACATGCCGTGAGAGGAATTTACAAGCAGGGGATTTACACACACAATTTGGAATTGTCAAAACAATGCGACGGTATTGATCGCTGAAAAACTATCTGAAGTAAATTCGAAAAATTAATTTTATTCCTCTCTCTCTCTCTCTTTCTTCTGAGTTTGTGGCGGGCGTGGGATGTGATTACGAAAGAGACTTTAGAAATTTTCTCACGGTTCGGGTTTTATTAGCCGCAAGCTCGCCGTTCGAGAAGTGGATCGTAAACCACTCTCACAATAATTTCTAATGGAAGATACAACACGCGCGCGATAGCGTATGTGTGTTTGTGACATAACCACAACTATTATCGACAAAGTAACAATCTTTAAAGTTGTAATGTAAAAGTATACAAAAAATACAATGTAAAAATTATGTCAAAAAGATTATCTTTAAATCCTGATCTGTGCTTATAATATCTGTAGATTCGCTGTAAAGACGAGTTTTTATGTCTGAAATTCTACAGTATATAATGTAATGTAAATGAACTATATATGCTAAATATGCTAAATACACGCTAACATCGTAAAAGCGCGTTCTAAATATGGGCTATAATGTAAATAAATTGTGGCAATCGTGGTGTCGAGTAGCGTGGCTACTTTCTGTGCCGAAGATCCGGATTCAAATCTATCCGGAACATACATATAACAGATTTTATTGGATCGTCACCTCTCAACAAAGCGGAGTATCTTTGTTATAACAATCTCTTTTAATAGATCATTCGAAACCATAATGTTGCTAGCTTTGGAATGCGTTTTATTTTAATCATTAGGATAGTGATGGTCCAACTTATGACACAGTCATTTCAAGAACGGCTTGGTGCATGTTAGAGCATCCGATCTGTGTCAAAAAAATTCTCGCAACATCTATGATAAAGATCTAGAAGATCTTCGAAGAAAAAATTACTTAAAAAATTAAAAATTAATTAATAAATTAAAATTTTACTTTTTACTTTTATTACGTAAGAGAGGAATTATGAAAAATCATAAAAATTTACGATATTATATTTTTTCTATTTTATAGGTTCTAGGTCCGATTTCCGGCTGTCATGTAAACCCGGCTGTGTCGTTGGGTCTTTTGGTCAGTGGAAATTGCAGTTTTCTCAAAACCATCTGTTATGCGGTCTGTCAGTGTTGCGGTGCTATAGCAGGAGCTGTTGTTCTTAAAGTACGTAATAAAAATTCCAAAATTTACCATAACATCCAATTAATTTCTTTTTAGAGAACTAAATAAACTTAGTTATGTAATATATCAAGTAATAGTAATAAAAAAAAAATAAAAGTATATTACATAAATCAATTTGAAAATATCAAGTATATTACATAAATATATGTAATATACTTGATATTTTCAAATTGATTTCCATATCTCCTGAAAACAATTCTTCGAAAATAAGAACAAAAATACCGAAATACGGTCGGATTATATGGCGATATATATAACTTTATTTATTATTCTATTTATTTAATTAAGATATGGAGAAGAAATTATCACAGCCACTTTCATCTTTATTATCATATTTAAAATTTAATTCTTTCTTAAACAATAAACAAGAAGAAGGAAAATAACGGTCAAAGCTAGATCACAGTACTTATTATTATTGTGTGTGAATTTTATATACCGCGTAGTTCCTTTAATCGCGTGCCGAAATTTAATTCTTTCTTATTTTACTATCAAAACTAGTTGAAATTTTTAAAAACTTAAATCACTGAAGAGCATCATATTGTGTAAGTTATAAAACGCACTCCGGTGAGATCACCGACGCATCGCGCGTTCGACATTTAAACGCGTTTACGTTTCTTACACGCGCGTAATCACAATGATTGTCCGGCCGAAGCGTGAAATTGATCGTTGATAGCCTGTCATTTCGATTTGGCGCGGGGCTCCGAAAGTGCCCCGTCTTACACTCGTATCAATTAAATCGCCGTTGTGCAAGGTCAAGGTTCGCCCCTCCCCCCGGCTCCTCCGTACATCCGTTACATCAGAAACTGGTCGTGATCGAACCGACCAGCTGAATCGCGTGTGAGGGACAACCGCGCACGTGCGTGCATGCGTGCATGCTTGATAGTAATTTGCGTATCTTTTATAGCCCGAATTAATTTCAACGAATATATATAAACCGACATTAAATACTTTATTTTTATTTTAATCCTTAATCTTATTGCTCCGCCATTGTAATCTAATTTATAGTAAAAAAAGAGGAAACATCTAATTATAAATAGGAAAAAATGTAGAATAATACCGTCGTTCTTTCGCGTTAATTCAACGATTAATTAGTAAAATTGTTAAAGAAAATCTATTATGAATTATTGCAAACAATTTGAAACATTGCAGTAGATTCAACAGTTAAATGAGCGCTCGTTGTGGTTATTAATGTATTCTTCTTATAGATCATCTAATTAGACTTTTAGAGAATGTTAACCGATCGGAAACCATGTACTGTAACAATTTCTGACAGATATTCTTTATATTCTCTATTCTTTTTTAGTTGTGCATCCCCTCATTTAAAATCCGCATCTTGATAATCATATAGGTTTCTTTCTATTTACCATGATATCATTTATCTAATTAAATCGTTTTTTTCTCCAGCTGCTTTTACCTAAACCGCAAGTCGCCCTTGGCCTCGGCGCCACCACGTTGCACTCTGAAGTAACTGACGCTCAGGGTGTAGCAGTGGAAATAATCATTACGTTTCTGCTGGTGCTGGTTGTGCACGCTGTTACGGATCCCAAGAGGACCGACGTGAAAGGTTGGGCCCCACTCGCGATTGGCTTGACAATTTCGGTAGCTCATATGGCGGCGGTGCGCATCACCGGCAGCAGTATGAATCCTGCTAGGAGTTTGGGTCCAGCCGTGGTGGACGATAAGTATAAACATTTGTGGGTCTACTGGGTGGGCCCACTCATCGGTGGCGCTGTGGCCGGTGGCGTGTACAGGATGGGCCTGAAAGCCAGCAGAGAGGACGACGAGGGTTCGTATGACTTTTAAAAGCGACCTCTGAATCTTACGGATACGCGAGATGGGCTCCAACAATAATATCCTGTGAAGACCGGAGGTTCGCCGAGTGTAAATAAACAAAATTGTGAGAATAATAACGTGAAGGCCGTGAAACCGGCGAAACGATTACGTGATTTTTGTTCGTTGCATTTAACAAGATTATGTTTGCGAAGAAATACGATTTATAGAATTTCTTTTTATTTCTAAGTGGAACTATAAACGCTACGAATTAAAGGAGATCGAATTGCTAGATTTGACAAATTCAAGAAAGAAGATTTTATTTCGATCAAAATTATTCTGTAGTATAAATTCAACATTTTATCTTTTTCTAATATTCTGTTTTATCTAGAAATGTATATTATTTATATCAACATTTACATTCAATATCAAATGGTGTTGTCTAATTTCTTTTTGTCTTAGAGCCTTTCTAATCAACAGAGTTAAACCGGAAAGTTATTTAAAAAAGCATAAATATAAGGATATTATTGTAAAATACACAACGTATAAAAAATTGCAAAATATCATCTTAATATTGATATTTTGATAATATTATTATTAAATATTATTGCGGAGTAAGAAATGTATATGATATTATCGCACAATAATGACATCAAATCGATATCTCTCCTCAAAGATTCCTTTTTTCTCCTTAAGAAATTAATAGGTACTTAAAAGTATTCGTCTAGAACGTGCAAAGACAGATTTTTTCAATTATTATTATCAGTGTAATATCATTGTGAGACATAACTCGAGATCATTTTATTAATCAACTCTCGTCTCGTATGAATCCTACATCCGCTATTTTTGTACATCGTTAATCTGAGTTTTGTATATATTGTTAACTTAAGATAGCTGGCGTAGCGAAAATGTAATGTAGTCTGCGTTTAAATAGTTTACAGTTTATCCGTACACGTTTAACCGATACGGAAAAAAGACGGCATTAACAAATATATATACTCTTTATCGTCAGTACTTGTATTTGCGTTTTTATTTCTGCAGATTCTCGCCCTACTTCTCGAAATAATAACAATATTTATTAATTAATAATATTGAGAGAATATTTATTAATATTTATATAATTTTATAGTTTAAAAGATGCATATAACTTTGGAGATTTAACAGCAAGTGTGATTTCTAGTTTTAATCTGGACATTAGTGAAGTTACTTTGTCGCTTGTGAGGAAGGCAAAACATACCGTCTTGTCGCGGCACAAGCATCGTGCGTTGAATCGGAAGTATCTCAAAATAGTATATGCTGAAATAGACGCGCCCAGTTTTCGCTTGTTGCACGCCACTAGAGGCTAGTAACTTCGAAACATCGCTCGGGATCATGGAGTGCGTTCTGTAATTAGTGATTCTAATTAATTTCACATTATTTCGTGACACATTATCTTTGTCGAGAAATTAATTCGAGAATTAATCGTGAGAATTTAATAAAAGATTCGACGGGAAAAAATATAAGTGTATATTAATAAAAAAATATATATATCATATATATACTTAATAATAATTAAAATGATTCTGGATTTTTAATTAATATTGGAAGAAATACTATGTATTAATTTAATTTATTTGAATATTAGAAAATGTGTGTTTCAATTAATAATTCTAATTGATTTTTGTTAAATGTGATTCTACATATTTAATATGTATAAACTATAAATAAATAAATATTAAATCTGTAATTAATACTTCTCTTCTTAATTCGATAAAAAATATATATTAACAAAATTATTATTTAAAATCATTCAAATCTAATATTATGTCCAACGCATCTAATTTTTAATTATTATTATCACGTATTAATAATAAAAAATTACTTAAAATATTACAAACATCTTAAAATATCATGTTGGGAAATGAGCCAGAACCGGAAATTGGTGGATTTTTCCGTTCAAATTTATTGGCGGTGAGAAAAGCAATTTACCAACAAGATTTCAAGAAATTTTCCGCTCTCAAATCGGATGCTGAGAGGGTGGCTTTTGTTTTAAGTTATTCCGAAGCATATAAATTGCCTTTGGAGGTGGAGAAGCCTACGGCTAAGGATCGTGACAGTGCTATTCGATTGAAAGACATAGGAAACAAATTTTTTGGTCGCGGCGAATTCACGAAGGCCTTGGAAACGTATTCGAATGCAGCTCTTTTAGCGCCATCAACAGGTAGACTTGTGTAACACTTATTATGTTTACTTAGCACATATAATTACGTTTACGTAATTTCATACCTGCGATTAATATTTTTAATTAATGCAACATTATATAACATAATAATTCAATAAAAAAATAAAATAATTTTCCGGATTATAATGTGCCTGTACTATTAAAAAACTTCAATGTCATCGTTTCTTTGTATTTCGATAATTCATTTGAAAATCTTTATCGCGATTATCCTGGCGTTAGTTGATCAAGCGACGCGGTAGCGTCGCGACGCCAAGTGCATAAAATAAAAATGTAACCGTTTAACTGCTTGACATGATCGCTTGACTTGATTGATGCGTGTATATGTTCATGTCGCTGTCAAATTCACGACGCTACCACTAGCTTTATCTCGAGTTTTTTCACATCTTCAAACTTTAGATTAAAATTACTCAGAATTTAAAAGCCCAATCAAAAATCTAAAAACACTTTTATTACATAATGTCATCGGTATCTTTCGATTGCGACCATTCCGAATAAAATTGGTGCAGCCGATACCGAGATCTAGACACCGAGTCCCGATAATTATTTTAGAAATAGAATCTGCATTTATTTTTAGAGGATTTAAATTTCCTACGTTATTATCACGTTTTCAAAATTAACAAAAAGCGGTAAAATCTCTTAAAAAAATTTTTTTTTAAAAAAAGGAAAATACATACGCCAAGTGCATAAAAAAGATATTGAACTGCTTGATCAAAAACAGATATGAGATAAATATAATTAGCCAAGTGTATTCTTCATTACGCCAGTCACATAAGACAGACCGAAAGTGACTATAATTGTCAACTGGATTATAGTGAAGAAAAAACTTGGCGTACCCGGGTCGCATTAATTGTAAACAGTATGCAGTGAAAACATTATTTCAACATAGTATTTGCATTATAAATTAAAATAACAGACATATGTATATAGATATAATATCATATATACGTATAACATAGTGATATAATTTGTGAGACATGAAAATATATTCACAAATAATAGATGTGATGTAAATTATGGATAAATATAATGTTTAGATATATATTTTAGAAACATTATAAATAACAACTTTTTATGTTCAATAAGCAATTATTAACATCTTTTCTTTGTTGAATTGTTTTTTTCGCATATATAGTGTATACTGCAGAATATTGCGATAGAACCAAGATTCTAAAATATTGCGACCCGGGCACGCCAAGTTTTTTCTTTACTATAATCCAGTTGACAATTATAGTCACTTTCGGTCTGTCTTATGTGACTGGCGTAATGAAGAATACACTTGGTCAATTATATTTATCTCATATCTGTTTTTGATCAAGAAGTTCAATATATTTTTATGCACTTGGCGTATGTTTTTTCTTTTTTTTAAAAAAGGTTTTTTTTAAGAGATTTCATCGCTTTTTGTAAATTTTGAAAACGTGATAATAATGTAGGAAATTTAAATCCTCTAAAAATAAATGCAGATTCTATTTCTAAAATAGTTATCGGGACTCGGTGTCTAGATCTCGGTATTGGCTGCACCAATTTTATTCGGACTGGTCGCAATCGAAGGATACCGATGACATTATATAATAAAAGTGTTTTTAGATTTTTGATTGGGCTTTTAAATTCTGAGTAATTTTAATTTAAAGTTTGAAAATGTGAAAAAACTCGAGATAAAGCTAGTGGTAGCGTCGTGAATTTGACAGCGACATGAACATATACACGCATCAATCAAGTCAAGCGATCATGTCAAGCAGTTAAATTAGCAGTTATTATTATTACTATTATTATTACTATTATTATTATTATTATTATTATTCATTCTCATGATTATCGATCCTAAAAATATAAAATATTTGAATATGTTTAGAATTAAGTATCATTTTGGCGAATCGCTCGGCCACATTGTATCACCTGGAGCGTCATGAGTATGCGTTGGAGGATATTGAGGAGGCCTCACTACTCGGTTACTCGAAGGATCTTTTATATAAACTTGAAGAGCGACGAGCCAGATGTTTATTGGGTTTGAAAAGGCACGATGAGGCGGTCGAGGCATTTAGGCGGGCTCTCCAGGCTCTAGATGACGCCAGGATACCCTTGGAACGTAGGCAGAAGTTCGAGGCGGACATCAGGATGATGCTCGTGGTGATGGATAAAGGCAAACGACTCAATGAAGCCGCTACGAAGAATCTTCTGCGAGTTCATAGCAAGCAAAAGTCCAACGCGCGTTTGGAGGACAGACTTATCCCCAAGAGAGACAGAAATCCCGTATATCCTGCTTGTAGTAGAGCGGTAGAAATTAAAGATGATAAAGGTGACATAGGTAGACACGCCGTGGCGACCAGGAAGATAACACCTGGCGAAATCGTGATCGTCGAACGACCGCATTGTGCGTTTCTACTGGCAGAGACCAGGTAAATCGTAGCATCATGCTCGATTGTATTTTTGGAAATCTACTTTTATTACGTTATTCCTCTTCACAATACGGAATTCTTCATCCGCAATCTGAGTTTTCAAACTTCAGTGCAGTTTTTTATATTGCTTCGGACTGTAAACAAATTTTACATACTCATGAAAACTTTAACGAGTTTTTACCGTTTACAGAAGATAGATTGTATTTTACTTAATTTTTACAGTTTTAAATTTATCTGGCTACTAAAATTCACAATAAAAGAATTAAGTATGCTTTTTAAGTCTAATTGTCGGCAGAGAGTTATTAAAACACTTTTATTAACACTATTGTTACTGGTAACTTTGCTGAAGTATAATTTCCGATTTAAGTCCTGCAGAATCGAAGATTTATGAATTCAAGATTTCATAGCCATCGTCAAGAATACAGTTAATCTCGCTTACAAATCGGTTACTAACCTTTTTTTTATTTCGTTATATTATCTTTGCTCCATCTTGTTTTATTCTTTCTTTTCCCTCTGTTTATCGCAAATCGCGGTTGCGCGAAATTATGTCACGACTAAAATGTACGTGACATTCGACTTTCAAGGCTCGCACATTGCCACCTGTGCTTCATGAGGATATTCGTACCAACGCCGGCGGCTTGTTGCAACTGCGTCGCGTACTGCAGCCGCCGCTGCAGAGATGCGGATGCTCCAGTGCACTCGAAGGAGTGCAAATTGTTACCGGCCCTATGGTACTCGAAAGCCTCAGTCACGTGTTTCTTGGCCCTAAGAGCGATCACGCAGAGACCTTTTGAAGAAGTTATAATGCTGCAGGAACAGTTTAAGAATCCTGGAAATGCGTTGAAATTTTCTGCGGTGCATCCATATCGAGGAGACGATTACATGGGTGCCTTCTACAACTTAGGTAACTAAACAAATATAAACAATGAATATAAAAAATCAAATTTTGATTAAATAATACAAGCATGCATATCTAATCTTATGGTTTTACATGAGAATGTCGCTAAATTTTTATTTTCTTTGATTAATAAAATCATCAAAAACTTTTACTTTGAACTTTTTTTTTTATTATCTTTTCTTTCTTATTAATAAACCTAAATTTCTAAATTATTTTCTTTTTTCAATATGCCAATATTTTATGTTTTATGTCAATAGTTACTCACGAAGACAAGAGGTTGCCTGAGGATATTTTTCATAGGGCCTACATGACGACCTGGTTATTCAGATTATTAAGATCCAGCAACTACTTGCCGGAAAATGTGAAAACGACTGATTCAGCGAACAGTAAATTGTCAGACGAGGAATTGTTTATCGCAGGATTGCTATTACACAACTTACAGTCATTGCAATTCAACACGCATGAAGTAAAGACGATACATAGCGTAACATTACAATTCGCTCGATTTTCCATAATGCTTTGAAAACGTGTATTATTGTATTTGTTCTTGCCATTACTGCATTACTCCTTTTCTAGATTTCAGAACTGGTAAGACCAAAAGGACAGAAGACGCTTGCTAAAGCCAAAAGCGTGTTTATAGGCGGTGGTGTTTATCCTACGGTTGCAATGCTGAATCATTCGTGCAATCCTGGCGTAGTTCGGTAAATAATAAACACTTTATTCTCACTATTGTTAAATTATTAACTAGATTATTTTAATTAAAAAATTTTTAATTGAGGTATTTCATCGGCACTACCATGATTGTTCGCGCTATTCGTACAATCAACGTAGGTGAAGAGATTTCTGAAAACTATGGTCCTATCTTCACAACCACACCCGAGAGTGAGCGAAAAAGAAAATTAAGGATGCAATATTGGTTTGATTGTAATTGCGAGGCGTGCTCGGGACATTGGCCGCTTCTAGACGAATTGGATCCAACAGTGCTCAGGTACATTATTTTATGGTTGTGCGAAATAATTACTAATTAATAAGGTTGTAATGAAAATACCGACTTGCATCAACTGTTAATATATTATACTTATTTTTTTTCATAGTAATTATCTTGTACAATTGAATAAAAAATTATTAACATGTATAAATATAAAAAAATTTTTAAGTAATATACAAATGATATTTTTTAATACAAAAAAAAATTAAACACCTAAATCATCTACTCTTGCTAAAAGCACATTATTTTACCTCGTATCGCTTAATTTTTCCAGATTTAAATGTGAGACCGGACCGTCCTGTGGTAACGTATTATTGGTCAAAAGTGACACGAATGAGTTCATGATCGGATGTGCGAAGTGTGGTAAGAGCACTAACATCCTGAAAGGCTTGAAAGCTCTACAGGATACGGACGAACTTTTCAGAGTCGCGTCGATGAATCTCGAAGAAGGACAAAACGAACACGCATTGAAAGCATATCTGGAAATTTTGAAACTACTGGACGAGACTCTAGTATTGCCTATCAAAGATTATCACACCTGCCAGCAGGGGATTAGACTGTGTGCTCTTGCCTTAGGCAACACAGCTTATATCTAAATCTCATTTTAGAACTAAAAAATTTAATTTGCATAGAATCTTTCTATTGCAAAATAAAAAGGTGCATTTTTCCGCAGTTAAGCGTAATAAATTCGAGTAATCTTAAGTTACTGTTTTAACTCTTTCATCAGAATGTTTACAAAGAAGAACCTTATCAAAGATAAAAAAATATAAAATGATTTTCCTTTAAAATCTTTCCTTAAAAAGAAATTAAACTTGTATCAATAATTTTTTTGGGTAAAGGAAAAATACATGCACGCATCATATACATTCACATACCATATGCATATTACATTTATTTGTACTTATTTAATTTTTGTAATATTCGTTGTTTCTTAATCTTACCGATATGATGAAAGAAGATAGTCGTGCAAATTTCTCGTTATGTTTGCAATGCACAAAGAAAATAATTTTTCTGAAAATTTCACACATTTATTTATTATTATTCACATTTCGGTTTTGTCAAATTCAAGTACAAAGTAAACACAATTTTTTGCTTTCTTCTCATCTTTCCTAATTCAAATATAGATATCATCTAATCACATCAATTCATTTTATGTTAGAAATGTAATGTAGTGGAAAATATCTAATTAATATATCTATTAATAACTATTAATAGTTATTAATAATTAGTTATTACATTAAGAAACACAATTTTGCAACTCCAGTGTAAATAAGTTTCCAACGTATTTTTTATATATATTAAATCCGTTGGCAAAAATTGGCTATTTAGTTGAGGTTTCATGTGGCTTGCATTTTTTACACTCAGCATTTGTTGTATTTTTTTTCCAATGTCCAAATATATTTATTTCATTTTAATTGTAAAAATTATTAGATTTCAAGCAATTTCAAACGTGACGAAATCTTTGATGATAAACTTTTGCAAACGGATTCATGTGAATATCAAAATGTGACTATTCACATTCATATGTAGCAAAGAAAAAAATATCAAATTTTGTTCCAGTGTATTTACAAACATTTTTAAATTCTTTTTGTAATATTTTACTTTTTTTTATTTTAAGTAGCTTATCTTGACAAGATTAATTAACATGTAGGCACATGATTAGCCACCTGTAGTTATATAATGTGCTAATATACTGTGCATAATATATTATATGTGTATACGCATACATATAGTCATAAAACTCCGACACTGTAACTTACAAACTAAATACGTGATTCGCGAAATCGATCAAAATGTCTGTTGGTGTACTTATCGTCGCAGTTTTATAATTGTTTGTAATTTCAAATGCAAGTGTGTAGTATGCATGTGTGATTAATAATCCATTTTTATTATGTACATACAAAAATTTCTCATTTTATCTTTTTTTTTCTGTCTTCTCTCCAGCACATAAAGTCGATCCGCTTTTTCTCTCTCTTTTTCTCTTTCTCTTTCTTTCTCTCTTTCTATCTCTCTACTTCTCTTTCTCTCTTGAACTTTTAGCATCTAACTGCAATTAGATAAAGAATACAAAGCTTAGACAAAAGAGTGTATCGTGGTGTAAACAAATTTTTCTCTTTTTTGTCGCTATCGCAAAAGAGGATGTCTCTTTCGCGATGAATTCTATGGCGCGCAAACGCGGAATTTTTGTCGTGTCATAATGGAGAGGATTTTTTTTAATCTGTCTAGTCATACCAAATGCGTGAAGTGTCTTCGTTGTATGTCTTTATTGTTTTTTTAAATTTTTAATAAAAATTTTTCTGTTTTTTTCTTTTAATTAGCAATATATTAATACCGTCTGTCACGGGAATCCGAACGTGAGCGGCGATCTCGGCTGCGGCTCCGGGTCAATGATCTTCTGCGAGGACTGCGTGATCTGGATCTAAAAAATTAAAGGCGGTTTGACATCATTTTCACTTTGATATAGTAAACGAGATTATTAGAACGCATTACGTTTCACTCCATTACAAAATTTACAAATATTGTAATTATTTATATCATATCTATCTTAAATTACCAATTAATGTTATTTGTAAAAAAAAATATTAATTATTACGATAAACAAACAATTACTTAGTACAATTAAGTGCTAAAATAATATTTGTTAATTTAGTTATTATTTTTAAATAATTTTTGATTGCAACTATAATTATATTACTCTTTTAAAAAATCATTTAATTATTAACAGACATTATATATAAATTTATATCTCTTAATTTTTTATTTTTAAATTTTAAATTACTAAAATAAATGTAGATTACTAAAATTTAATGTTCTTACAGTAATCATTTATTAATTTTTAAATATTTGTGTTATTTGTTTTTACTTTTCAATGATCACTTATTTATCATTTTACAAGAAAATATTTATAAAAAAATATTATGACGTCAAATTCGGTTCAAAATAGAGTGAAGCGGGGCGATGGAACACAGATATAAAAAATCATCGCACAAGACAACTGTAAGAGAATTAGAATTATCTAGTTCCTATTTTACCTAAAGTGATGTATCAAAATTATATAGTTAGACACGATTAATAATGAATTAATACAAAATGATGTCTCACCAATCGAATGCGAAAACAAAAAAGTAGAGGATTAATTTTAGTAGTAAAATCATTAAATTTTATCAATAAATGTTATACCTCGATGTACATCAATTTTGTCTATATCATATTTTGGCTGGGAGTTCTCTGATTCGATTAAACATCCATTATTCGTTTATAAAATTTTGATAAAAAACAATTTCATTTTCTTAAACAATTGTCTTTTAGATTCTTTTTATATAGTCTCGATAAAACGCATTAATTGTTTACAGAATCAGACAGAACTCCTCACCGAAAAGATCACAAATTTGAAATAAGAATTGTAACAAAGTAAAATAGAGATATTTATAAAATGAAAAATAGAGATAGAGTTAAAAAATCTTTGAAAATCGGTGAAATACCAATGTGAACATGTACAGGTGGTTGGTGGGTGGTGGTGGGATGGTGTGTAGTAGGTGATCATTTCGCTTATTTTGCGTGATCATTTCGTTCGAGGAGTCGAAGGTCGAGAAGATCTCTCGGCGGCAACTCTCACGCGCTCAGATGTTGTTGCGGATAACACACGTTCCTAAGTGATGTCGACGAGTAGTGGCAGTAGCAGTAGTGGTAGAAGTAGCAGTAGCAGTAATACTAGTAGTAGTGGCAGAATAGAAACGTCGGTCTCGAAACGACGAACAGTCGGGAAGACAGTCGATCGTAGTCAAATGAAGAGACGCGCCGGTGGATTACAGAATTACTGTATGACGATTTCTTTTATTATTTTTTAATAATTTGCATCGCGATTGGTGATGGTCACAAACTGGTGGTGGTTGCCAGTTGTGGGTAATATTTTTTCTTACGGTGGCAAATTTTGTTTTTGACGATTGATTCGATGTGTGCCGCCGTCCCCCTAAAGCTGAGACGAAGAGTTGAAGAAGGCGGATCACAAGATCCGGTTGATTGGTCGATTGGTGGTTGGTGGTTGGTGGTGGTGGTTGGTGGTTGGTGGAAGAGTAGTAGTAGTAGTAGTAGTAATGGTGATCGAAGGGGAGAGTTCCGTAGTGGAGCGACGGACAATTTTTTTTCGGTTCAAGACGGTTTTTTGCGGTGCACGATGACGGATGGGGGAGAGGGACAGCAACGGAAAAAAAGCAATGTTTTTGGCTCTTTTTTCTTTTTTTTCTGAAGGTGGCAGTCTCGGGCATTGGCGATACTCTGGCAGCGGTGACGGCGCACGGAAACTGTTGTTTTCGGTTGTTGCGCCATTGTGTGCTGTGTGCACATCGCAACACCACAATGCACAACATCGACGGGCGACGTGACGTGACGTGACGTGACGTGACAGACGTACGGACGGCTTCCTATATACTCGGTGACTTGGTGGTGACTGATGGTGACTTGGTTGGGAAGTTAGTGGGCAGGCAGGCATATTTTTTGTTCAGTTTTGTTCGATTGACGATTGCGAGACTGACGATTTGTTTTTTTTTATACGCGTAATAATACGCTTTTTTCACGGCGGCTGTAGAAGTAGTAGTAGCAGTAGTGGTAGTAGTAGTAGTAGTAGAAGTAGTGGTAGTAGTAGTGGCGGGGAGACGAGCAGAGCTAGGAGCTGACGCTGGTAGAATCTGCAAACGTCAGTTTTAGCAATATAATCATCAACGTTATCATACTCCTGGCCACTATCGCGTATTCTTACGTTTCAATTTCTTTTTTTCTTTCGCGAACTTTCGTCATTTGGGGAGCAAAAAAATTTCCGAATATCGAGAACGAAATTTACAATTGCACGCGCGCTCGCTTCTCATAGTTTTCATCGAACGATTCTCGCATTCTCGATTATCCTAGACTGCCCACTCGAATACGTACGAGAAAAAAAAAGAAAAAAAAAGAGAAGGGAGGACCTCTCTGTGCTCCGTGCTGATCGATTCGAATATCTAGATATGTGATGGATATATATCGCTTCCGTACGCACCACGTTTTCGTCGCGACGCATCAAGCATATATATATATATATATTTTTTTTTTATTAAAATGAATTGATAAACACTAAGATTTTCACACACAGATTCACTTCCGTACGCTTGAATCATCTGCGTGCTTCATCCATGCCACGGTGCGTGTGCGATGAGAAGTGATGAAAGCAGTGTTCGTCGCAACTTCTTTCAAAAGTTTCAACAAACAACAAAAATATATTTATACCTGAGAAATTAAGATATTAAACATTCTCAACAGAATACGAATAATGAATTTTCTGATTTCTCTGATCTTAGATTAATAAGAATTTATTCAAATTAACGATCATTGATCTGAAATATATTGCCATTAATATTAGAAACAAATCTATTTTTGTAATATATTTTAATAATATTTTGTCTAGATAAAATTACTAAAAAGATGCAAACTTTATAAACTTCTTTTATAATTTGCTATTTTTTTTAGACACCGAGAAGATCTCCCATTTTGAAGTAAAAAGTAAAATCGATAATGGCAAGAATACGAAAATTTACATGCGAAATTCCGAAGTGCAATTTTGCTGTTTCCGTATATCACGCATTTTTCGAATTCACTGAGCCTCTTTTATATCACATTATTTCTATTTAATTCCTTCTCATTTTCGTCTACCATCGAAGTTCGTTCAGTCTTATCCTCCCACTTTTAATTCGATTGCCGATCAAGTATCATGTTTTTTTTTCTTTTTTTTACTGTCGCTCGAGCACCCACGATTTACTGAAATCGTGTAATCGACTACTCTCTAAAACGTTCTTAGTTTTCCAATTACAAGTTTCGACCGCTTATAAAGACAACGATGACAAAACAAATAGCGAAATCGATTTCTAAGTGAAAATTTTATTGAGTCAAATGCAAATTCCTATTTTTTTTGTTTGTTAAATTTGTCGATTAATTCGATTCCGTCATCGTTCTCCGTCCTTAAATGCCTCTAGTGAGTAGGGTGACTATTATCTCGTGATAAATAATAATGCGTGCAATATGTATACTGTGCTGCAAGCAACAGTGTATACCTACTTATCACTACCCCGTTTTGCCAAGATTCTGAAAATAAAATTCTGAAAATTTTTGCAAAGCAAAAAAAAAAGTCAAACACAGATAAAAAAAGAGAGAATTTATTACCTGGAATATCGGCTTATCGACGCTCTCCGCGGACTTCTCGACCAGGATCTACAAAAGATTAAGAATAACTAATGTATGTCTGACAAGAGTGTGTTGCCAATAATAGCCTCACGCTTTGAGAGATTTTCATTTGTCTTAGCACCTGAAAATTGCGGTTGACCGCAAAATGGGACAGAGAAAAAGAAGCGAGTCAGATTTATGTATTATTAAAGAGAAGATAGAGAGCTAAGAGGAGCAGGAAAGTCTTACCTCGGGTAACGACCAAGGGATTTCCTACGGGGGCTGCGCGACCTGGACCTACAAATTTGTTAAAAAAAAAAAAGATATATCGTACGTGAATCCGATTGCTTGCTAAAGCATGTAGACGAGAGCGTTACAATGAGAAAAGAGAAATATAGAGTAAAAGATATGAATGGTGATACCCAAGACAATCGAGTACTAATTGTGTGTGTATATATGTATATATAAGATAAAAAAAGATTATAAGAAATCTTTAAAAAGTGATTTAATATATAACGGCATAATATATGTTTCATACATGTAACATATATATAAGCAAATGGAGAAAAATTGCTGATGATTTATTTTATTCAACTTTTATTTCACCACTAAAATGATTGAAATAATTTTGTTAGAAATTTAAACTTAGATTATTAAAAAAATATTTTATTATTATATGTGTATCTTTCATTTCTTTAAAAATGAATATGACTCATAACGTTGTCTTTAAAATTTGTGTGTATTGATTTAATTTATTATATATATATATACATAATCATTAATATTTAAACTCTTTAAATTGCGTTAAAAAAAAGCTAATATCTAATATGATAATTGAAAACGATTAATATTAATTGTTTGATTTTAATTTTTAAGTAGAGTAACGAAACAGTTAGAAATAAGACTTATTCCTCACACAATCTTTTGCCTTAGTTTATAGGAATTCAAACTTATATATATGTACAATAATGCAATATTTTCCTGTCCACGCGAACATGCAGTGTGGATTTAGCCGCTCTCTGGCTAATCCTCGGAATTAACCTTTCACCATATTCATGCAGACTTAATATCTATAGTAGTATAATCTCTACAAGAGGCATTGTGCAATCGAAATTTAAACAATCGGCAATCTCAAACTGCGAACTCACGATCGTGAACGAGGAGGAGGAGGATTAGCCAGTTACACGGCAACAAAGAAAAAAAACACGATGTATAAAATATATATAAACTAGATATGCAAACTAGATGTAATATATATGTATATTGTGTATATGTGTGTACACACACATATACACACACACACACACACACATACACCGATATTCTTACAGAGACTTAAGAAAGGAAAAATATCGATTCTCGCGATGATGATGTGCACGAAAAAGTATTCACTGGGATGAAACATAAGACTCGTGCATTGTTCATTTTGGTGATAAGAGCGCACTCTTGCTCTGAGAACAAGAGATCTCTTCTACACCATGAATACCTACGTTGGCGAGGAACGCTTAGCCGCGTCACAGTTCTAACGGTCGTTTTCGCTGTAAAGTGCGCGGTTGCTGCAAATACTTTGTAACCTCTTACCTAGAATAACGAGGACCAGGTCTGCGACCGCCACCACCACGGCGACTTCTCCCAGAGGACATCTCAACTCTTACTCTGGTGCCACAACATCGTCTGAAAGATGTTAAAAAGTATATCACTCGATATATCCTCAACTATGATATTAATTTTTTTTTCTCCTTTTGGACAAAAACCAAAGATCATTAATTTGAAAGATAATTATAGATAAGTAATTGATACACAATGATCACATTGTAAATAATCTTAATTTCTAAATAATAAAAAATTGAACAATTTATTTTTCCATATTATTTATAAATTTGCTTATATATGCTTTTTTTTAATAATAATGAGTTAAAAACTCATGCACAGAAAAGGTCTTATTTGTTTCATACGATTGCCACCTTTTAATTATATATTTTGTTCGATAACCCTTTTACCCAAGATCTCATTATTTTGTCGATTCCTAGATTTTATTCCCATCAAAATTGATACTTATCTCGTTACGCTAAAAACAAAAAGAGGAAGGAGTTTCTATTAAAGAGAAGTAGAAATTTAAAGTGTTTTTCTTTAAGTTGCGCTTCAAAAAAATCATCAAATCTCAGAGTGGTTAGATAGATTTGCTCCTTCCGTCTAAAATTCGTTTAATAAACCGAAGTTTATAGTAGTGATAGTGGCAACCGTCGATTAGGTTATCATATATTTTTTACTTAATATTCTTCTTTGCTACAATCATATTTTTTGTTTATATGTTTAAAAATGTATTATACATATTTTTTAACAAAGTGAAAAAAATTACAGATTTTTCTATATTTAAATATAAAAAGTTTAATAATCGATTTAGAACTTGGATTAAAAATTATGTCAATAATTAAAAATGTTTTACAAAAATAATTAAGATAAAATGAGAACCTTCATTTACACTACAAAATTGTAATGATAATATAAATATTGACCTAATAAATGTGTCATATATATATATATATATGCGCGCGCGCGCGTGTGTGTGTGTGTGTTTGTGTAACATTTATTTTTATATAAAAAGTAAAAATTTCCAATTTTAGACATTTTTCGCAGAAACTATGTACATCCTTGAAAATTAATACGATCTATAACGTAATCTTCAGAACATGTTGAAATTATTATCATGGTACATAAAGATAAATTGTATATAATATGAGAATTCTTAATTCTCAAACTTACGTTCCATCCAATCCTCTTACAGCGTCTTCAGCGTCCCGCGGGTCTTCAAACTCCACAAATGCAAAGCCAGGAGGATTTCGGGCTACCCATACATTTCTTAATGGACCATACTTACTGAATGCGCTTTCAATCTCATGTTTGCTAGCGCTACTGCCTAAATTACCAACATAAACCTTGCAAGATAGATCCCATTCACGATATCGAGACATTTTTCAACCTGAAAACAAACATATTATAAATAACACAGTCTTAAAAATTTATTCGATATTTGGAATATATATACTATATTGGAAATCTCAATTCGAATAATGTAGTGAGCAGGGTTCCCACAAAAAATGAATTTTGAAATTCCCTGACTTTTCCAGGTTTTCCAGATGAGAATAAAGAATTTTCTCTGACCAGTATAAAATATTGATTGTCGGACCTGATGTAAATCAGATTTATTGAGGTTTTTAAAAACAGAGAGGGACATTATGTGAATAGAAATAATTTAATTATAGTAAGGTCAAATGAGTGACATGTTGGGTAATTGTGATTCGGATAATCAAGGTTCTATGTATGTAAATTTTAACGTTTAGAAAGAGGAGTAATAGGAAAATTAGCCTATATTACTAGACACTACTTTTAGAAAATCTAAAAGACAAAGTATAACAAAATCTTATATAAATTCAAAAGAAATAAATAAGTATTGAAAAAAATGCAATTATAACAGAAAAGTTTAAAATTCCAGATTCTTTTATACTTTTTCTGATATTGCCCGATTTCCCTGACCAATTTTAAATTCCCTTTTCCCGGTTTTCCAACAATCAAACTAATAGTTCTTCTGTCCAATAAATATGTTTACATATAGTAAATATACCTACTAAGAAAGACCATTCATATTAAAAAATGAACGAAATCTAATTAAATATTTATTATTTAGTAAACTTCTTTATCAGTATATATATTATGCGTTTTACGCTATAAAAAAGATTTTATGCTTTCATTTTTAAAGCTACGACACTTTGCCAGTATTTAATATATTTTATATTCTAAGATTTGATACAATACAAATATAATAAATGTAGGAAATGAAATCCAATTTGTGTATTCTTAAAAAAAAAATAAATGTGTATAAATTCTCAATAAATGAATAAAAAGCAAAATAAGTTTGAATTACCTATAAATCAAGACAAGATTTACAATCAGTTGCACTATTATCATCGAGCCTGGAATCTACTCTTCAATATGTTCATTATAATTATAACTACATTTTTAGAAGTGTGTTCCGTTTGCGCATGATGCGCATAATACATCAATTGTCCTTATTTAACATATGATAAGCAACAAGAATAAACGATACATTATACGCATCATGCGTGAAATAGAACGCATCCTAAGTAACGTATTAAATATATAAATTATAACGATCAATCAAAATATATAATTTAATGATACTCAAAATAATAAGTAATTATCTTTATTAGAAGTTATATAAATATTCATGCTATCATCAATTGCAACAATAATTTAGCCTTGAAAAATTCTAAAAAGAAATTTTGAAAACAATTGTCAGCCAATTAAAAGTCAGAGTTTCAAAATTTAGGTTTATTTTTATCAATGGCTGCGTTCAGCAGAGAAAGCAGCTTTGCAACTGTTGTAAAATTCTTTAATATGATTGGTCTTGCCCTTATTTCCTCATTAGATCTAAATGTATAAGCCATGGCTACGTTCAGCAGACTCAACAGTTGAGTGAGCGCTCTCTGTTATTAGTGTATTCTTTTAGATCATCCAATCAAATTTTAAATCTAGAAGAATACACTAATAACAGAGAGCGCTCACTCAACTGTTGAGTCTGCTGAACGTAGCCATTCATATTCAAGAATTTTACACAACAGTTGCAAAGCTGCTTTTTCTGCTCAACGCAGCCATTGTGGATTACCTTCAATTTTGGAATATTTTGTCTTTTTCTAATTCTTAAAACTTAGAAAAAAAGGACAGAGTCAGTGAACCTAAATCAAAATTAAAAGCTTGCTTTTGCTACTAAACTAGTATACACTTTGAAACTTAAAGTGAAAGTGTTTTTTAACTAAACTTCTCGTTGTTCATTTTTTTTGTTTTTCTCTCCAATGTGAAAAAAGGAAGATAAATCATGCAAGAATTTCAACTAAAAAATAACAGATCTATTGATTGGTACTTGGCGAAAGCGAGGACAATTTTAATGCAGTCCAGTGCAGGAACAAAGAACACTTTATCATCTACATTAGGCGAATTTTGGCGTCCCTCTGGTATAGCAACCAAAAGTAACCACAACTAAGGCTATCTTCGTTTTCAGGGATCAGAAGACAAAGATAGCCTCAACCACGGTTGCTTTTGGTTGCTATACCAGAGGCACGCCAAAAATCGCCTCCAAAATAAAAGATCGTCGTGTTATTTTTTCCTCGCCTTTCGATCTATCATAAAAATTGCGCGATATATCGCCAACCGCTTTTCACTCCGGTTTCCCGCCACCGAAAAAGCATTCGGTGGGTTTAGTTCGAACATTGCGTTGCAGCAAGGTTCTCTCCTCTATGTATTGCTGTTGCATGACCAGAATGTTGTGTTTTTGAGGCGGTGTCCTCAAATCATCAATCGAACGAAATCTCAATAGCACTCTGTATAACGAATTGATCCAAAATTTACACTTACCTAGAGAACGTTCAACCAGAACTGCTTACAAATCACTTTCGGCCAGACACGGCTCATGCACGTCAAGCACGCCACAACTTCACAAAGTAAAATGGCGTCAAACGTACGCAATTTACTCGAATCAACGTTATGTAGTTCTTTTCCTTGTCAATATCAATAGTGCTGCCACCGGCACCACCATATACTCCGTAGTTCAAGTGTAGGTTTAAAGCGATTTTTTCATGAAAATTGTTTTCTAATTGTTGACGTTTTTAAGTCAACGATCAATCTTAAATGTTATTCGATGACGAATTATTTTTCTAATTAGTTTATCAATCGATTTTAAGTGAAACAAAATTTTGCTAATTTTTTTAGATCGAATGTTGATGTCACATGCGATCCATACAACGGAAGTTGATTATAGAGAGAATTTTGTATTTTTTATTATTTCTACGTAATTAATGAATTCATATGAATAAATAATATTGATTAATAATAAAATAAATTTATTTAGCTGATATTTCGAGCTCTGAAGTTCTTTCAGAACTTAATAATAGCAAGAACCAGCATTTAATTCTTTAAGAGATTTAGATCTTTTTTTACAATGCTGCTGTTGTTTCGAGCTCTAAAATTCTTTTAGAACGTTCAACAAGCAAGTATGAGTAGCCGTATTAAAGATATAAGTCTTTCTGATAAGCGACTATTTGTTCAGAACATATTTACTCATACACTTATCTCTCGCAGGTGGACGTCATTGGGGTGCAGCCATGGTCCTTCTGGAAAATTCTTTTCGACCCAAAAAAGACCCTGTAGGAGTCAATGTCCATCACCATTGGAAAATGTCGAAGAGAAGCTGGGAAAAGCATGACGAGCATATTGGAATCTTTACTGCAGCCTTCTGTCATACTAATACGCCAAGAATACGAAGAAATACTGGTACACCAAAACGGTATATTCGTGAAGCACCAAATCCATTTGAATTTTTTTAACAAAAATGAATTTAAAGAAGATTTAGATTTTCCAAAAATTCTGTTATGTTTGGTATTTTACCATTAATGGAGGGAGGACTGGCAAAAATTAATAACCGTGGATTATATATTACCTACAGCTTCTGTCTTACAGTTATTGATCTGTTTAAGGTTCTATCCAACAGCAAGTTTTCAGGATAATTCATTATATATACAATATAATTATATATACAAATCAAAAAATTACAAATATAAAAATTTTACAGCTCGTTATGAGAGATGTGATACAAATTTCACAGTCTACTCTACAATATCAAGAATTATTTCACGAGTTTCTCGTTTTATTATTTATATTGTTACTGTTGATAAAAAGAATCTTTATATGGAATCATTTATTTCTAATTCAAGACTAATGAGAATACAGTGCAGTTACAGAGACGTAAGCTGTAATGTTAAAACTGTCATTATTTTATGAGAAAGATGACATTATTATTTCAAACGAGAAGGATATTATTTCAAATTAATTAAATGTTTTGAATCGCTTTGGAATCTTCTTTAATGTGTAAATATAAAGATTTTGATGTTTTATAATTATGCTATAATGTAATGAATTTATTTAACTCATAACCCTTTTTATCTTTTTTGTTTAATGTAAAAATTCTCTATTTTTTTAAAAAATTGCTATCGATAAACATATTTCGACGCACTACACGAGATGCCTTACATAAGAACGATCTTTGCGAGAAAACAATCTCATAATTAGTGAACTAATCTCTTATAATCTATCTTTTCCAATTGTACCAAAGGTCGTAACTGTTCCGCAAATATTCTCATGTCCTCTGCTATGGCATCCTGTCCACTAGGAGCTAATACACTGAGCTCAACCAGATAACTCTGCGAAATCATTTCCGGCACCCCTTCTGGTACCTTGCCTTGATTCACCTTGAAGATCTTTGATACAGTGATTTTCATTCGTCCTTTGCGAAACATGTAGCCACGAGTAACATATTCGAAATCCAGCTTGCAGCCCAACTCGGTGAGAAACTCCACTACTGTGTTACTAGTAGCAATGTCGATGCTACTGCGAACAATCGTGGGTCGAGATTTGTCGCCTAGTTCAGGTTGGCCAATATATCGTAACTGCCATGGCATGTCCGCGTTGCTTGCATCTAGAGTACGTCGCACTCGCAGTAGTAACGGTTGTTCTTGCGGAGTACTTCTGAAAACAAGTCAAACAAATAGTTGTAACTCTATATGTAAATCAACTTTAATTACATTTTTCAAAGAAATAAAACCCTCTAAAAATATAGAATTGGAATAGATGATATTACCTGCGGATGCTGAAACACATCTCATGGTCGTAGAAGCCCTCTGGTCCATGATCTACGTTGTCACATAAACCACGAAGTCTATGCAGCAATACTTCTACGGAGGAATCCAACACGGATCCCTGTAGTAGATACTCTTGATTGGGAATAATATTGGACTTGAGAGCAGCAGTTAAGCTGTCCATGGCAGTGCTGATCGGAGCGGTCATGTTGGCTTATATCCACTTTGACCAGGAGTAACAGAATCGTTTGTGATAATATAAATAAAACTAAAAAATTCCCGTTATAAATAGAAATTATTGATATATTACTTGACATCTCTCGAACTTTTATATATTGCTCTCATTTACTACAACAACGATGTAACTCAAAAATTATAATCTTTCAATTACTTGCAAAAAAAGACATTTCATTAAAAGAATAGCTTTTATTCCTTTACAATTAGTTACACTAAAATTACACTAAAATTACATTTCAAAATTCAGATTACAAAATTTTAATGATTCAAAACATTTAAATTGACTTTCTGGAAAACTTTGTTTTGTAAGTTGTAGCAAATAAGCAATATGATTTTTTACATACCTTTGTTTTTATATATTATCTATAGCGAGGAATTAAAGTAGTTGAATCCATTCACACCATATATAGTATTATATATATGATTCACACATTCTTTTCTCTCGGAGAGAGAAGGAAGTTTACTATACATTTCGTTCTTATATTACGCCTAACCTCAAAGTAAACTACTGTAAAGAATATTCAGTCTGCAGAGTGACGTACCGACGGGAGCGTAGCATCGCGACAGCGCCTCGAGGAGGCTCTTAGTGGAAACAAAGCGGACGGGAGTCGGTAAAAAAGTGGTCTCTTACACTACTAATTTGTGACTTATAAATGTTCTAATTAATAGAACGACACTTTTTTTTATTTTAGTAAATTTAAAACTAATCTGTTATAAAATTAATGTTGTAACTTGTAAAATAAGTTAGGTTAGATTGAGATTTGTGATGCCGGTTATACCGGTAATCGGGTGACGGTGATGCTAGAGAGAAACTTAATTGAAAGAGGTCAGAAACTACGTGGCTAAGCCATTTTCAAAAACAACGTGGCTCCATTCCTAATATATTTCCTAATCCTGTTGATAAAAATCATAGCATAGCATAGAGAATTCAGTCAAAAGTGGATGTAAAAGTATAACGTAGTTCCTATAAACATCCATGTTACCGGAAAAATTTTTATATGAGCGATTTCGACGGTAACAGGAAAAAGACCAACAGCCTCTCTAGTTTTTTTTGTTGCAGGGTTAAATCATGTGCTAAATATTGTTTAAAAAAATATAATTTAAATTATAATTTATATCATATGATTTTTCTCTTTTCCTTTTTCTAAAAAATTCTAATTGAAATCTGTAAGTTGTTTTTTCAATTCGTCATTATAAATATATAACAACTAGTAATTCGTAAATTTTGAGCATAAACCTACACGCATTTAAGAGTTTTCATTATTAATTTGTAACTTTACATTTGTTTTTAAATTAATTGCTTATTATTTTATAAGTACAATTTCTTTCATACGATCTTTCCCATAGCCATCATTTATTTATTCTAAATATTTAATTTTCATAAAGAATATAATTTCTATTTTGTACTCAGAATGCGCTTTAATAAATTTTTTTAAATCTTACTTTGAAATTTTACAATATACGTCATGTAAATTATGTATTAAATACGCGCCAACACCATAAAATCGCATTCTGAATACACACAAGTTTCTCTATCTTTTCAAGAGAGAGAAACGAACGCTCTCAAATTCCAAAGAAGGCTGAAATGATGAAATCTTTTCACGCGTAGTAAGTTAACAAATAATAAAAATTAAATTGGAGAGGAAAAATTATTTATAGTTTTTTCAATAAGATATTCTGCGTTCTAAATTTTATTCCACTTTAATAAGTTTTTATAAGATTTTAAATTACAGTTTACGTACCTATAATATTACTAAAGTAAATTAATTCTGATAATTCGCACATTCCTTTATGCTAATTAGAGAAAGGAAATTCTTTGATATATACAAATTAACAAATTCGCAGTCTCTCTTCTCACACATAATAATAGTAATATTTTTAACAATTGCACTATATATGTAAGAGCTCAAAGAGCCTCAGATACGAACGTAATAAAAAATACGATTCATTTCGTTTATCTCCTAATAAATTTAATTCGACAAATTTGTTATTGGCACGATTTTAGTCCTTGTTAAAACAAAGATATAATAATGAATTGATCAAATGATCTATAAAAATTAACAGTCTTCCCTGGTAGAAATCTACTATCACTATGTGTTATAGAAGCAAGAAATTTTTGTTTCACGAAACTTACTATTCTGCAGTAGATTTGTCAACATCTAATAATGGTAATTATTAACGCATTCGTCGCGAATGAAATATTACAATATTTTAGATTATATATTCGATACATTTCACAGCTGCTATAAAATACTACCTAGAGACGCACGTTTCCTAGTCGTATATTGTAACAAAATTGAATTTTTAGTTTCATATTTAATCTATCGAGCCTTCTTATATTATTTCCTTATAACAAAGTATTATCGCGCAACATCGAACGATATTAAACTTATTATGGAAAATTCGACAGTCTCTTAGATTTCGCAAATCTTCTCTGTTCTTTCTAGCTGTGTTTTCTACAATTTGTTTTTAATTCCATGCGATTCTATCTTTCCATATGATTTCCGTTGTATACGTAATTGCTTCAAATGCCAAAAGCGTAAGAGAAAACATGGCTAAAAAGAGCGGTCCGATTATCAATCGACGCGTCATTTCGTAATTCCTATAGATTGCCTATCACTTCGAAAATTTATTCCTAGCTAGGATAAACGCTATTGATGCGCTCGTAGAAGAGTAGGTACGGACTGGCAAGCAGCACCTGCGTCAATGACACGCTCTCGACAATGACGTCGGATGTATACAGCCATTGATCCGCTTTATTTCCGCGTCTGAAGCAAACGAAATGGCCGGAGTCCACTGGGCCGCGGTGCTCGATTACCGCGCATAATCGATACTTGTGTTTACCCTGTATCGTTATGAAACTGTTACCAAGAAACTTTGCATCACCCTATAAATAAAGAGATTCTAGTAAATTAATTAAACTGTGCCTGGTCAATTATAAGTTTAGATTGAGAGTTGTAGGATTGTGAATTAAATATTTCTGAGAATTCCTTATTTGATAAATTTATTATGAGTCTTTTTATAAATCACCTGCGCGCTTCTCTTTTTTGTCTCCGTATAAGTGTACGGATCTAGCACCAGAAATTCAGGGAATGTGATCTGATCATCCCTTTTAATTGGCATGCCTGAAGAACTCCACGTGGTCCTCGGAATATGTAAGCATAAACACTTGGGCAGTTTGCCGAGGGTGAGAGTCTTGATAGCGGTGCAACGTGATGAGCATCCATCGCATTGCACATCGCGCACAATTTCGCTGTCTACGAAACGTGACAATAACCATTCCAAAGAGTGATGCTGTGGTACAAATGATGAAGTGAGCGGCGGTAATGGTAATGATAAAGTCTCAAGCTTATCGTAACGTACTGAAGACTGAAAAAAGAAATGAAGATTAAGATTAAAATTTAGCATTATACTAAAGATAGGGTTTAACATTAGTAAGATTAGAGTTCAAGATTATTAGGCTTATAAATTATTTTGATAGGAAGCAAGAAAAAGAGAATATTATTATTGATAAGTATTTAGATATGTACAAATGAATTAATACAATACTATTTGAATAATTGAAAAAAAAAGAATCACGAACGAAGAAATTTAGATAGTTTTCGTAACGATACCTTCCAGAAACAGTTACTGCACTGAACTTGGCTAGTAATGAGGCCTGAGAACGGATGCGTCTCCACTGATATTGAAGGAATGTTAGTAAATGACATGGCGGCGCATAAAGACTTCCATGATCCAAAAAGGCTCGTACAATCGCCGTTGCCTTGAATATTTCGCGATAGCAACTCAGAGGATCTAGCGAGGATCATACCAGGCTTGCATGTGCTCGGAGACCTACTGGATATGGACGGGTTTGAGGTCATCATCTGATTGTTGCAGTTTTTGTCGAAGCCCTTTGGATTATCGGAGTTATTCTCCACTGACGCTATGTCATTACAAGAGGCGCTTCTGAGATTCAGAGTATCACCTGTCCCTCTTACATCTGGATTGATAATCGGGCTTGGTGGTAGTGCATCAGACAAACAACCTTTCTGAAATCATGAATAAACTTTCCAATTAATTACAAAAGTTATCCTTTTTCGCAATCGAAAATTTCTGTTGAACACAATAATGGCATATTGCATACCCTACTAGCAGGTTGCATTTCAGCATCTAATGCACTGAGAACCACGTGGAACAGTTCGTGAGCATCTTGATAACCAGGTCCGAAATTCCACAATGAACCAACGGAAGAGATGATTTCAACAGGTGTAACATTGCCGTACAAGTCATCCGCAAAACCATTAATTTCTACCAAATATGATCAGTACAATATAAGATATAAAAACATGAATATAGAAAATTAAAAAATTTTTAAAAACACTGTGAATTTTAACACTGATTAAAGATCTTGTTAAGCAATAAGAAAAAGTAACAAAAACTTAGGAGAAATTAACTTGACATTTAGAGACTTAAAAGTTGCAATTTCAAATCCACAATTAAACTACTCAAGATAAGATCAGATCATAGCCATACTTTTGAGGACAGAAAGCAGTGTGTCAGCAAAGTTCCTATCCTTTTTTTCTTGCTGTTTTTGAAGCCAGAAAATGAAAAAGGGACAAGCAGCCAATGCTTGTAAAAGAGAATTCAGGAAACATGTATATCCCAAATTGTTAATCCCAATAACTCGACCTAGAAGCAAACAGTAAAATAAAGTCACAAACCAGAGAATTTGTTTCATATTAATTCTCTAAAGCTAATGTCAAAATTTGTAACATAATTATTGACGTGAGTCTGTAAGACTCATTTAATTTATGTTCATTAAAAGGTATTAATTAATTTCAAGGGGAACCAAAATAATATAACTCATATTAAAAAGAATAAATATCAAAGTTACCAAATATACTTCATAACAGTGATCCAAATTTGTAAATGTAATATTAAGAAAATTGAAACGTTCGATATTTTTGATAAAGAGATTCATAATTGAATGGATTCAATAGATACATCACCAACTCCAAATGATTAAGTATATAATATCTCTTGTGATTAATATAAAACAAAATTCAAAATTTTAATTAAAAAAAAAAAATGTAGAGAAATATAAAAGAAAATAATAAGCATAAAAACTAAAATCATAGTAATTGTGCTTTAACAATTAATTTGTAACAGAATTAAACTTAACAAAACTATTCTAAAGAAATTATGTACTTGATTTTTTATATAATACAATAAAAATATATTTGTATATATGTATTTTTTTTCCAATGGTACAAGATATCAAAAACGGCTATAATTTTATTTCTTTAGAATTTCATTATACAAAAATAAAACACAAAAATAAAAGGGTAAAAGGACGTAGTCTTCATAAACGTTTGATGAACATAGCCCGGACGTCACCTTTTTTCCTGGGCTTGGGTGATGGGCCCCATAAGACGAAGAGGCCAACGGCGATGGCAAAGCCTACGCCGGCAAACATTGCTATCTTCTCCACGTCCATCGCGAAC